AACTTGCATAAATCAGAATGGTTTATACCACAAACAGCTATTTAGAAGGTGAGATGAGGACAAGTTGGTAACATAGGCTTATGCAAAGGACAGACTAGAGTCAAGCTTGAAGAAACAGCCATTGATGTAGATTTGAACTAAGCTGAAAAATGTCCATGTGCTTTTGCATTTAATACTTTTGTTATTTCTCAAATAACAAATCTGTGAATTGCAAACATTCATGAAAGAGTGTAAGTCAATTAATTTATAAAATGGAAAAGGGGCAGATTTATGATGACTAAAATACATGATTTCAACAGCAGACATTCCAATTTACAGCTCAGTGCACCACCTAAAACGGCTGTTCATGTCTGTAATTTCTGTACTTTACATAAAGTACTCCTAATAAATTAAACCTCCAGGAAAAAGAGAAACCACTCATAAAATAGGTGCTTATCTGAAAACCATAGTAAGTAAAATATATACACTACATGTATACACCAAAAATGGTGAAGTTGAATGGGGAAAAAAAAGAAAAAGGGAAAAAAAAGGGGATAATAAAAAAAAAAGGTTTTAGCATCCTTTTTACAAAAAACTCACAAAAATGATGGTCACATTAAGTGCTAAATCAACCTTCTTCATCCTCTGTTTTATTTGTACAATACAGAATAAAATTACAAAATATTTGAATGTCATACCATTCTGAATCTATTGCTCTTTCACTACATCTTCTGTAGCACAAAAGTCGCAGAAATTTCTCTTTGAACTTCTCTGTTCTATGACATAAAAAGTCCACTGAGACTCATAAATCCTAATGCCATTTAATCAGTCTGAAAAAATTTTAATGAGCTCTCACTAGATTTGGTACAGAGATTATTTGTAACTATGGGATCAATTAATTAATTAGAAATGGAAGAAACTGCAAAGAAATAGTGTTTTAAATTAAGGTGATGATTTACATCACTTGGAACTTTTTAAATAGAACAGATTGATTCTTCATAAGAGAGTTATGACCATTTGTATTACTGCAATCTATTCCTCTTTTTAAACAGTGGATATAAATGCATTTATTTGCTTTTAAATTACTAGTAAGGTCCTTTATTTTACAGAAAAGCTGTAGGCAAATCAACCAAAATACTGGAAAGAAAGGCCCTAGCCCACAACATCCTTAAGTAGGAGGATAATTAATCTATGTGGTTTTGATGACAGAAGTGTATTGGAAGTATGTATAAATGTTGGCATGGGAATGTCTGCAGCCCTCTCAGTTAGAGCCATATTTCAATTAAATTTATTAGCATATAATTTTTGTTATTATGAAATAAAATTTCAAGACAGTATTGAAAATTTTTATATATATATATATAAAAATATAAAAATACATACAAATGGCCATGTTAGTATGAACTCTTTTAAAGCAAAAATTAATATTCTAGTATTTATAAATTCAAAAATCATGATTTTTAATAATGCGAGCCCTATAAATTAAAGTGGAACAGAAAAATATTGTTCAGCAAAAGTACTTTTGTTTCCTTACTTTTTTTCCCCTGATCAAATCTGTGAAGTTAATGACTGAATCACAGGATAAGTAAGATTGGAAGGGACCTCCAGAGCTCATTCAGTCTGTGGACTGTGTCCAGACAAATTCCGAGTATCTCCAAGGGTGGAGACTCCACAACTCATCTAGGCAACCTCTGCAAGTGCTTGGTCACCCTCACAGTAAAAAAAGTGTTTTTGTGTGCTCAGTCTCCTGTGTATGTCTCTGCCCACTGCCTCTGGTTCTGTCACTGGGCACCACTGAAAAGAGCCTGGCTCCTTCTTCTTTACTGTCTCTCTTCAGGTATTCCTATGCATTAATAAGATCCCCCTGAGCATTCTCTTCTCGTCATTCCAACCACATCACTAAAGATGTTACCCAGTATTGACCACTACTCACTGGCACCCAACTAGACTTGTGCCACTGATGACAACCTTCTGGGCCTGGCCATTCAGCCGGTTTTCAAAGCACGTCACTGTCTGCTCATCCACAGCTTCTCTACAAGGATCATACGGGTGAGAGTGTCACAGGCACTCCTGTAGCACAGGGAGACAACAGCCACTGCTCTCACCTTGTCCACCAGGCCAGTCACTTCATTATAGAAGTTAATCAAGTTTGTCAAGCATGACTTTCCCTTGGTGTAGCCATGCTGACTGCTCCTGATGATTTGCTTGTCCTTCCTGTGCCTGGAAATGGTTTTCAGGATTAGTTCTTCCATCACCATTTTCCAGGGATTGAGGTGAGGCTGAGCAGCCTGTAGTTCCCTGGCTTGAAGACAGGAGTGACATTTGCTTTCTCCAGTCTTTGAGCACTTCTCCCAGTGGCCATGATTGATCAGCGAGTATGTAAAGTGGTCTTGCAATGACACTAGAGGGTGTATCCCATCAGGGTCCCTGGACTTACTCATGTCCAGTTTGTTTAAGTATTCCCTCACCAAAATCCAAACAGAAATAATACTATGAAAAGTATTATTTAATTGTCTAAATAAAATGTATGAAAAAGAACACAGTGTTTTGAACATTCTGGTCTGAAATGTCTATAATATTCAAGAACACATTGTTTCTACATATGTACAGCTCCAGATGGTTTTCATACAAGTTGCATCTGTGCATTTGAGATCAGAAATTTGAGTATATGTTTTTAAATTTAAATTTTAGAAAAATTTAAGTTTTCTAGTATTTAATCCCCAGATCATATTTTGATTACCTGATTTAATTAATTACTTATATGACAGTGCATTGTTGCTAGTTTTGCAAGTTCATATGATGCTTCACGTATCACCAGACAGCAAGACCTAGGCTGAATTTGCAGGGTGCATCTTGTTCAAAATTCCTGTGCTGTGGTTTCATCATTATGCCTATTAAGTTCCTAGTTAACCAAAGACTGCAAACAAAAAGGTCAACATTTAAGAAATTCCCAGATGGACAACTATGACATCCTTCAACGACAGTAAAGCAGATATCATATCCATTTATATATCACTTTAAATACTTTTCATCCCCTTGAGAGTTCTGTGCTTGTGCTAAATTCCCACACTTCAACATTTGTGATTTTTGTAGATGCAACAAAAATTCAGTTGAATTTAATCTGCACTAAGGGAACGCTGATGCTGTAAACTCATATAGAGGAAAAACATATATTCAAACATTTATGTTGTTCTTCAAAAAAAGGTTAACAAAATAAAAATACAAACCCAGTAAAAAATACAATCTGAAATTTTGTCCAACATACCTTTAAAATCGTTTAAAAATATTAAGTGTAATATAGATGCTACTATCATCTTCAAGTATTTTTTTCATTGCTAACATAACTAAGGAAACAAACAATTATCTACAACAGTGTCACTGGTTTTGCTGCTTGCTTTTGGGCTGTTTTTTAATGTTTTTGTCCTTTTTAATTATTACCAATTTGTGACTTTTCTGAAATAGAGCCAAATAGACAAAGAGTTTTGGGAAAGCTGTCCTTCTGCTCCTCACATGAAATTATAGTTTAATTTGCCATTAACACAGCTGACATTCAGTTTTCCTACTTCTTGAGATAGTAACAGTTACAACCCAGATTTATATAAATTATCAATACTTTCTGCTCTTTTACTTTCAGAATTACAGAACAGCTTACAGCTATACTTCCATCCAATTAAAAAGTATCCAATTATGCACTTCATCCTGTTTCCCAAAAAAAACATACCATACAACATTACAGGAACATACCCTGATTTTTTGTTCCCTACACATACAGTTAAGCAAGGAAGAATATTTTTATATGAAAAAAAAAATAAGCTGTGGTTTAAGCTTGTGTTCAACTCCTCTCTTCCTCTCTCCAAAACCTTGGGCTGCTTCCCAATATGTGCTCTGAACTGAATATTAACATATTCAAAATTCATAACTCCTTGACTCTAAGGTGAGATCTACAGCCTTGCTGCTCAGATTTCAACATTTGGAACAAGCCATATACACAAGGCCTACTCACACAAGTATCTACCACGCCCCTACAACGCCATGTTTGATTAACACAGTTTGATTAACACTGTTCAACAGTAAACCACACTGCCTCAAACTTATTTGACTTTGTATTCTCAGGCAATGAAAATACCATTTAGACTCTGGGTGAGAATTCGAAGTACGAAAGGCTGAGGAATCAGTTAATTGTATTTGTGTAGCCATTTTTTCCTCAATAATCCTACTGAGAGAACAGTAATCACAGTCTAATCTACCTAAACTTGTTCCTTAAAATTAGTAGGTAATGCATTTTTCTGCAGTAATGAAACTCTGAAACTTCAGAACTTATGTTCCACTCGGGACAGAGAAGAAGTGAGAAAAATATTCTATGGATAAAGACAATTTAATTTAAAATAAAAGTGAAGACATTATTTTAACAACTCTCAGTTTATCTTTCAAATATTTTCCCTGCAGATTTCTATTTCAGAATAAACTTTGGAAAGTTATATATAAGAGAGAAAAACTAAACACACCTACTATTTGAGAAAGATTGCTCAAACTGATAGTTTTAAATCAGAAACAAGAATTATGATCTCAGAGATTTGGACTGTAACAGGAAAGATGTGGCTTAGGAAAAATATATGCCCTGTTCACAAAGAACCATCTTTAATGCTTTGATACTTAAGAGGTAAATCAGCTATGAATGTATGGAAAATAAACTGAACTATGTTTAAACAACCGTTTCCAAACTTTGAATAGTGAAGTTAAGATTGTAGATTTATTTACACAGCAGAAAATCATTACTACTGTGTAGCATACTACTGCATGCTACTGTGTAGTAAATCAGAGCAATCTGCATTACAAACACTAGATGTAGTGGGGGGAAATCTCTTCCTTCAACAGCACAAACATCTTTGAAAACAGAAGTTGCTGATTTGTATAATCTTTATATTAAATTTAATCTAAGTATTTATCACATTAAAAAAAAAATCCAAATATAGTCCAAAGAGAATATTCCTAAATCAAATTTGCCCCCTCCCCCTTCTTACCTTCTCTGGAGGTGCAGGAGGGTGAAATCTCTTTGCACAAACCAGAAATGGATCAGGGTGTGGCTTGCCACACTTCACCTCAGGGTCATCTCCCAACACAACATGATGAAAAAGACCAAAAAAGTCTTTGTGTCTGGTTGTTTTCAGCTGAAATGAGACTTCATCTGAGCTGCTGGCAACAGCCATGGGTATGTTGTGTTTGTGTAAATGACGGATCAGCTTATCGACCCCTGCAAGACAAATATATATGTTTTAGTTTTTATATATACGCATGTATGTTGGTATATGTATTAATGTTTATACCTAACTACAAAGTATTTAGCAATATTTCAACAATGCTGTCTTACTGAATAAAATAACCTATTTCAATCAGTTAGTGTGAAAGAAAATTCTTGCTATATCTGAAACATTCCTTCTCCAGACAAAAACCATGGAACATTCCTCAAGGTATATATATACTTGTTCTGTTATCGAAGTGATTCTTTTCTCAAAATATGTCAAAATGGGTTCAACATCATTACATGATGACATCCACTAGAAAGTCATTAAGCAACGTCCCCATATTATGTAAGTTTATTATTTCGAACTCTGAGAGTTTGGGAGAACATTTTCTTTCATATACAGTTATGCTCCTGAGAAAAGAATCAAAAAAATAGACTCTTCTCACTGGATGGCATAGTTTTAGTTTCTGAAGCAGGTATCCAACTGGCTCAAACCAGACCCTAAGGGAGCTCAGTTTCTCTCTTTTGCAATTATTAAAGCAAGTAACACTAGGCAGAGGAGAGCAGCTGTCAGTCACAGTTGTTAATACCAGAGCTTTATCTATTGATGCTGTGAACCCAGAGTAATGAACACCTCAAGCCTAATGGGTAGCAACTTCAATCTGATCCAGTCTTCTAGGGAAGGCTAATGCAGTGAACAGAGAAAGCACAGCAGTCTGTGTAAGAGGGAAACACACACCGTTATTAGGTGCAAGTTTTGAGTTTTCTTTGAGGGGGTTTTAATGCTCCTTTTCTGCAGCATCCTAAATGTTGAATACCTCTCCCAGAAAAAAACAATTAGCATTGTGTAATGAAGAACAAGATCGGATGTCTGGTCTTTACTAACTCACAAGAGAAAATCCCTCCATATCTGTATAATCATTTCAGCTCTGCTTCTTGGCATAAATCTGTCCCACGGTGTTGGACACAGGATATTAGTTTCAGGCAGTTTAGGTTCAAGTAGATTCCAGTTGACTTTTGGCTCTTTGAAACAAGTTGAGCACAATTCTCTGTTTTTACCTTCCAAGTGCATGCGTTCTTATATTTTTCATGTCTGGTTACACTAAAATAATCTTATTCCCTTCCTTCTGATTCACTGTCATGGTTACGTCTGGTCCCCGCTCCCTCCAACCATTCCTACTCCTCATGCCCATTTAATTCTTTCCTTTGCCACACCAGTATCTCTGATTTGCATTTCCCATGTGACTTAGCCTTTCAATTCTAAAATCAACCACCTAATCTGCCACACATTTTTCCCAAGTATAGTCATATGCCCAACTTGGAGAATTTGTAAGTACTATTGATAATAAAGTGTGTAGATTACTAAATAGGTGCATTAACTAATCCACCTGTCTCGAACTAGGACTTGTAGGTATGGCTCTCTCAGATTTCTCATCTATTCTCCAGAATCTAAGCAAACAATTAATAGCTGACATTTCCAGCTCCATGTTCATATTTGATGACTTTAAATACACGCACTTCTGTGATGTTAGATTTTGAGATGGACAGAAATAACAAGTGCTATTCCTCCTCTAATATCAATGCATCATCCATTTGAAAGCCTTCCTGTGCCTCCTTAAATGGTTATACTAAGCAAGTGCATTTTTCCCAAATGATGCTATTATGTCCTCTCACCAAAATATGACGTTAAATACAATTCAACTTTTTATTCCAGATAATTTAAGTCTTCATTCTGAAACATGTAGTAAGTCTATAGTAAATTAATGAAGTACTAGGATACCTTAATGTAAAGCAGTAGCCTAAGCATCCCTTCTTTAAAATAAAATGCATTCATTCTAAGGAACTTATTCTAAATAAGCTGCAAAGTTTAGCAAGGCTAGCATGTCGTATGTAGTAATATAAAGAAGTCCAAAGATTAAGCAGAAGACTTTTCCTATCTCCTACGCCCTTGCTACGATATAGTTAGTTTTCTCTAAAGTTGTGCTCTTTTCAAATAGCTAATTTTCTTCAGTCCCACTGCATCACAGCTTCAGTTCATCTCTCACAGGGTATGTTTATTCTATATTTCTATTGGAAGTAGCCAGCCACAGAAAAGCACTGCTGCAGAAATGTTATTTCTCCAGGGTCCTCTCTTATATTCCCCCAGCACATCATGATTTTAGTGTGTAACTGTGTATAGGTGCGTGTTTGATTTCTCTTTTTGGCTTCCCTCACAACAAGGGAGCTAAAATGCGGTTGTCCTTAATACCTCCAGAAAGCAAATATTTACATTATTCAGAAAATGCACTTTAATAAGAATATGCCATTTAAAAAATGATTATTCATGTATATGTAAATAGAGCAAGATAGATTAGAGAAAAAGCAAAAGGCAAACCAGCTGCACAGAAAAAAATTAAACTGCATTTGCAAGAGTAGCTAGCATAACTTGACAAACTCAAAACAGATGAAAAATATTTTCATTCCAGGTTTGCTTTCCTCTTTGTAAAAGCTATAGGTCAAGAAAATCCATTTTTGTTGGCATCAGCTACCACCAGTATAGCTCTAGACACTTAGCCACCACATCAAATTACTGACACAATTATTGTACCAATTCAGCACATAATTCTTTATTAGGAAGATAATATCTTCCTCAGTATCTTTATAGTGTTTTTTTAAAAGAAAATATCAACAGAAGGGGAACTGAAGAACTGCTTTAAAGATCTGTAAGAATTCCCCTGGTATATCCTGTGTTATTATACCCTCTGTAGCTACAAAGATTTTTCAATCAAATGACAATCAAACCAACCAAGTAAGAACTCAAAGACCATGAAGAACTACGCTGAAAATTCCTGTGATCTTGATAACTTCTAACTTACTTGTTGCTACATCAGGGCCCATCCATCACAGACGGACCCCCCTCTGTTAGACTTCCTGGGACCACCTTTCACCCTTCTGACTGAAAGCTTAGGCACATACAGCAAGAACAAAAAATAAAGAAAGATCAAAAGAAATAAAGATCCCTGTTCTTCCAGGATAAGGATACACTTCTAATGTGGCACACAGGCAATAACTATCTTATGCAGTATATGAATTCTTCAAGTAATTACAAAAAAATCAGGAGTACCCCACATTGCTATGCTTTATTTCCAAATGTACTCATTTTTTTCAGATAACCAAAGCAGTAAATACTGTTTCTTTATGCTATGTCTTTAAATGTGAAATTTTAGAACAGACACAGAAGCTTAATATATGCTAAATGCAATAGTTCAACACTGGTAACTATTGGAAAGAAAAATAGGTGAAAAGAATTGTAAGCTCAATTTCGTTACAGTAGCTGCAAAGAAAAAGGATCAACTTTAAATGTCAGCATCTTTAACACCTAATTAATCACAAATGTCAATGAAGTTATCAAGTTTGGGAAAAGAAAAAGAAAACAAATTAAACCAACAGAAAGGATTTATTTCTTCTGAGACCACAGATGCATTTCAAAGAAAGAGATCAGCTTTTGTTCTGAAAATTGCAAAAAATCATATATAAAAATATATATTTCTTTTTTTTAAAAAGGAAGTATTATCCCTCCATTAGACTCAAAATGTGGTGTTTGCACTTTTTAGATTCAGCTGAAATCATGGTGACTAATACATTGGATCAACTAAAAATAAGACTCATACTGAACAGCAAAACCCTTGGGCTAACTGTCACTTTTTTCCTTCTCATTGACTAATACAAACATGTACAGCAAGTGTTCAGGAAACCAAACAATGCTACACTAAAATGATCTAATGAGAATCCCTATCTAATTACTTACATGGTATTACAACACTGTTTTCCACATGATTTTTTTAAAGTTATCACATTTTTTAATCAAATGGCATTACTCACTATGAAGTGAAAATTAACAAGACAAAACTCCTCAAAGCTAGCACAAAGTGATGAACAACAAAGGGAATTTTTATTTTCCTTTTAGCTTTATACAAACATGGTCTCTGTGTCATGCAGAATACTTCAGGACAATGAACAACACGTGTATTTTTGTTATATTTTATCTCATATCATTTCAAATTTTTGTACCATCCCTTTTCTTGTATTTGTCTATCACTGAACATAACACTGTTCTTAACTTATATCACTTCTCTATCTCCACATTCAGATCTATTTCTTTTGAAATGTTTCCAGACAAAAAAGGAGATACTATAAAGCTCTTCTATTCTTTTCTAATATATCTTTAACCAAACCTTTTTTCTATGAATATGTCCCAGTAAGGGTATGTTTTTCAAAATAGACAAGAAAGTGATCTCCATCATAAACTGGGCAAACACACATCTTGATGATTTATGTCCATATGCACAAATGAAAATCTTAAGAATAAAAATAGCTTCTGTATTAAAAGACTGCTCCTTTTTTTCATAATCATTTACAGTTCCTACATTGAATGTGATAAGATGCCAAACTTAAAGTTTTTCAAGATTTCATCATATTCTTTAGTCAAAGAAAAGTTAGCATTACCACTCAGAGCTTTGCAGGTTGACCAGATTTCTAGCCAATTCCATGACAGTCTTTTAAGTTTATAAAACCAATTCTATGGCAAAAACCTCAGCAGCATCTGAACATTAAAAGCACTCAACAAAACACAAAAAAATTTCACTTACAAAAAGAAGCCGTTGTTTGTTAACTTAAGCCATAAAATCTTTAAAAAATATTTTTTATGTAGTCTGGTGTGCTACAACAATTGCAAGCCCATCAACACAGTGCTATTCATTACCTACACTTTCTTGCAATCCTCAGGAGAAGTCAGGATTGCTGCTGTGAAGGTGACGGTGTGACAGAGGTGGGGCTATTCACTACTTGGTTTAATTGCCATGAATGCTTTAACTTGGTCAGCCCCGAATTGGTCAGGTAGTTGGACTAGATGATAGTTGTAGGTCCCTTCCAACTGAAATAGTCCTGTTCTGTTCTGTTTTATTCTATTCTATTCCTAAATCTCATGAGACTATGGAAATGTAACTCTCAGATCAACCTGCTTCTTTTTTTGTTAAAAATGCTATCTGCAAGGGTATGTTATCCTTTCCCTGAGCTACAAACTGGAGATTGAAACTACTAACCTATTCCCCACTTTGGAAGGTAATTGACTACTAATAAAGAATTTTGTTTTCTCATCTTATTGCCTTCTAAAAAGTACCAGAGATCTTTCTGGTGGCAGAGACTCCTTATTCACTGAATCATTATTATCATTTTAGTCTGGACATACTGACACATGCATGGTCATAGAAGAAATATAAGTACTAAATTTTACATAATTTAGAACCTGCATCAACTGTGTTTCTGATTTCCTGATAAAAGCATGTTTGGGTTGCAATCCTTTAGGACTTGATGTAAAGGACAAATCTTTGAAATCAGCCAAACAGAAAGCAGCATTCTGAGTTTGCAGATATCTAATTGACTGATATCTAGGGGTTACAGGCTCACTGAGCTGAGTATTGACTCACTAGAGTTTCCTAGCATTAAAACAATAACAGCAACAAAAAGAAAAGATAGCATGCTAGGAAGTCTATTTACCTGTTAGGGGCACAACATCAAGGAAGCTATAGTTAAGCTCACTAGACTGCTGGTTGAATGGAACTGCTGAAGAAAAAAATAAATTGGAGTTTCCATTGAAATTTGAACTGTTTTCCTTTCTTCTCTTTTTATGCTTTCTGACTGGCTTCATTTGGTACTAAAATTGAGGTATAAAATTACCTCCTCATGGCTGCAAGAAACAGTCAACTGTACTTGAACTGAAAAATAGCTTGCACATCACATTCTGCACTGGCTGAACAAGAGCTGCAACAACTAAATCCCAGTTATTGTAAAAACAACCCAGGAATGAAAAATGTCTGAAAGGGATACACAGTCACACAATCCTTAAGGATCTGTGCTTTGTGATAATGATGATGAGCCAAACCAGAGACTACTATGAAAGAATAGCAGTAGTTTCATAATCCTGACATGATCACAGTAACTGTTGGCAGTTGTATAACTTGGAGTTCAGTTTTTCTGGCTCTGTATATATTCTAGGTTTATATTATGCAAAAGCACACTTAAACATGTATAGGTAGATATACATATGCATGGTTTTCTTCTGTTCCACCTGTCATTCCTTATTCTTCAGACTATGCACTTCCCTATAACACAGAAATGCTAAAAATGCATTTGCAGAAACAGAAAACCTACTATATTACTCTTGCAGATAACAATGTCTGTACTCCTACAGAAATATTTAGAAAACCAGCACAGTGGTAGGCCTGTCATTTTGTCAGTGTTCTCTTGGATTAATTTCTTTCTCCACTGAATCAAAACTACCATTCCTTAAGATTCTTTCAAAACTAAAAATAAATCAAACTGTGAAAAACTCTCAAATAGTTACCAGAAAATTCCATATTAGAAATGGATATAGACTCTTCTTAGATGAAATTTGTATTTTGACCACAGCCAGATGTGTTGAGGCTTGTCTGTCAGTTCAGCCATATTGAAATAGTCAAAATTCTGTCTTCAACCACTCATGCCTCAGAAGTGCTGCACATTAAGTGGTATGGCTGTAATATAGCCTGTGCCATGGTTTAAGCCCAGCTGGCAACTAAGTACCACACAGCTGCTAACTCAGTGCATGTGTCCTCCCTGGTGGATGAGGAGAAGAATCAGGAAAAAAAGTAACTTGTAGGTTGAGATAAGAACAGATTAATAATCAAAACAAAGTAAAATATAATAATGACAATACTAATACAACTAATTGCAAAATGAAAGGAAAAGGGGGAGAGAGAGATAAAACCTAAGAAAGAAAAGTGATGCACAATGCAATTGCTCACCACCTGTTGACTGATGTCCAGCCCATCCTAAAGCCACAACTCGTCCCTCTCCCACGTAAAAACCCCAGTTTATACCCTGGGCATGATGTTCTACGGTATGGAATATCCCTTTGGCCAGTTCAGATAAGCCATGCTCCCTCCTGACTTCTTGTTCACCTGCTCACTGGCAGAGCACGGGACACTGAAAAATCCTTGACTTGGGGCAAGCGCTACTTAAACATCAGCGTGTTATCAACTTTATTCTTGTACTAAATCTAAAACACATCAATATACCTGCAACAAAGAAAAAAACAAACTCTATCCCAGCTGAAACCAGGTTTCTAACCTGTCAGACAAAGAACTGTTTTGCCAATTAAATATTTGTACAACTTCCACACTATCCTTAACCGTCACCGACACACCTGTCAATTACTTGATTTGGGAATTAATAGAGCTATCATGTTTGGCAAAATTATGTGCATAGCTCATTCCACATCCAGAAACAAATGCTGATTTGCTTGAGTCACTTTTTTAAATATCATTGGTCATTTTTTAGCTCTGCTCTCCACCAAATCAAATTTCAATCTTATTTTTTGGACAAACTTTAGAAATTGATTAAAAAATAGAACCTCACCTGAATATTAACTGTCAAAAGATGGCCAGAGATACAGCACTTCAGTCATCCTATGCCATTAATATGACAATTAACTTTCACTTTCCTGTATTTACCTGTAACCATCTGAAAGATCGATTTAGTCAGAGAACAGTGTAAACTCAAAATGTCATCAGTCTTATATCTTACACAACATATGCAAGAAGCCCATTCTTAATTAAAGAACATTAAGAGACTGCAGAACAAATCCACAAGGATTATATGAATAAACACTCTCAGAAGATACAAAAGGGCAGAAGAAAATATCAGATTTAAAAATCTGGTTGATTGGAGAACAGTCCTTAAAGAAACTAGATGGTAAGCAGCTGGAGCCATTTCCCTCTACCTTATTAACTGACATCAGCCTGGTCTCTCAAAATTCATGGCAATTTAGCTTGTATCCCATATGCTGCCTCCAAGTAAAGGACAGATCATATCAGTTTAGTGACCAAGGACGCCTCTGCTCTCCACAATGGCCAGTGAGCATAAAGTATGTTAGTTCACATCAATTCTGCTTTAAAAAATACCCTGAAGAAAGTTATCACGTGTATTTAGTTGAACTGAAAAGATAATCAGTTGAACAATTCTGGGGATGATGAAAATGTTTACTTGCTTCTCACAGTAAGAATTTTGCTGTTTTCATCCATAATAGCCCAGCTTCAGCAAGCCCAGAATTCACTTTTTGAAGTCAGGAACAGCATAAAACCTCATGTTTCCTTCAGCTAATCTGTTCCCTCACCTCTCTAACTCTGTTTAAGCCAGCTCAGCCACATTATCACAATCTTCAGCTGGCACACAATATCTACTTAATAGCATCTATTACCTACGTTGTTTCATTACAGCAACTCTTCTCCATGCCTCCTAACATTTTACCCAGTCTGTCCATCTGGCATTTTCTAAACCCAGACTACATTTTTTTTGTTTGGCTTGCAAAAGATATAGCTGAAAATTTAGCCCCAGAAGTTTGACATGAAAAATGAAAAACACATCAATCCATATTTCTCATTGTTTTGAAGAGTTTAACTAGGCTTACAGTTTTAAGTGGAACTATGATTGAGAGAGATGCAATTTGAAAAACCTTGCACATAAAACACATTAAAGAGATAACTAAATTGGCTGCACAAAATACTCAAGTTTTTTAAGCTGCTAAAAAAACGGCACCTTTTATTTTTGCTGCTTGTTATTTATTCCTAACATATCACATATTTTTAACTTTCATTCTCCTAATGCATTATGAAACTAGGTATAAAAAGCATCTAAAAATTAAAACATGAATGCACGGTAGAAATTGTCAGAACAAATGAGTACACGTTCAAAGAGAAAAAATGATAACAGTCAAACTCGTACAGTGACATGCAGTTATTTCACTTCTAATACTTTTTTATATTCCTCTCCATCTCCTCCTTTTTTTTCCCTTCATAAATTATTTGCTCCAGAAAGTTTAACATTGTACATAAAGTTACCAGCAATCCTAGGTTTAGGTATCGCTAATCTTGTATGGTCGAGGATTTCTCTCTAGAGCATTTCAGATCTAAATGTAATTGAATATAAAAGTATCCATTCACACTACAGATAAGATTCCTCCTCTTGCTTATCTTGAGGTACCTGGTTGAAGCTACTCATTTGGGCATTCTGCAATATCACTGGTAAAAGGTGAGGAAACACTCATGTCTTAGGATAACCTGAGGAACCCTCCCTCGCCAGTGACACGCTCAGACACTGTTACTTGAGCTTCAGTGTTCAGGTTAAGTGAGATTAATCCCAACTGAAAGAACTCATGGGCTCGCATACTTTTAAATGTGCAGGTAATTTTATTTGTGCTTAACAAAACAAGGCTATGCTCATAGTCAGGGAAAGCTGCCAACAACAATTATAAAGAATGGCTGGTTTACAAAACAGAATTCACGCATATGTACCTAGTCCTTTTTTTTCTTTTAAAACACCTAGAAAAAAGCTTTGCTCCAAGTAAATAGGGAAAGAAGTTTTCTGTACTCCTTGACAGGTAAAATATCTCTTTAGACTGGTAAATAACACGTGGATTTGAGTAAGACTTGCTAAAATGACAGCAATGAAACAGAATCTGTAAGAGAAACTGTTTTATGGAAGACAGATTACAAACTTCTGCTTGACTAGCATTTAAATAATTCCATAAAGAGTTTGCAAATATTGAAAAGAAACATACCTGGCATTAATGCAGTAGTACAGAACAGCTTCTCCTGCATGATTTTACTTTCATTTAGTAGCTCTTCTTTGGTTATTGGAAGATCTAGAACATCTCGAATAATTTCTGCTGATTCTAGGGGTTTCTTACCCATAACCAAGGATTTCACATCCCAGGTATATGATTTTCCAAAACGCCCACAGATCTCTTCGAACACTACTGAATACAGACGCTCGGTATCTGTCAAACAAACAAAAGAAACGAAAGAAAATGAAGCCCATGTATAGCCAGCTAGGCAGCTGTCCTGCAAATGGACCACATGAACGGTCAGAGAGTGAACTGCCAGGAGCCAGAGGGCTCATACTGAAGCGAGTAAAACTGCCTCCCTTTAATCGCAGAGGGGATCCCAGGCTTCCAGGATCACCTCACAGGTACCCAGGTTTTTCAAGCTGTCGCTCCTGCAGTAACTAAGGGTCTCAACACAGAACTATCCGGACCTTCTCTTTCATCACCTTTCTTTACTATCCAAGTTGGCAAGAAGTGTCTTAATTAAAATACTCTATGCTTTCTATGAGAAAGAAAAGAAGGGAAGGAAGGAAATCTGGTACTTCAGGGATGTCATTACACATTCCATGTAAATTGAAAAAAGAAAAATAAGAATTAATTATTTAAAAGTGTCTTTGAACAGAAGCTTCTGAGTGCCTTCAAAGACGTAACAGTCATTACTATAGTGCTGTTGGCAGTGTTGCATTTACATGGGATTACTCCAGCAAAACACACCCACTTGTATTTCCAGGGGATTTCAGACAAGAGTAAACTTAAGGCTGAATTTTGGCAGCTTATATGTCAAAGATGTTTTAGCTTTCAAGCTATTTTTTTAATAGAAACAAATAATCTGTCCTTTCTCCCCCCCCCCCAACAAATCTTTGAAAAAGAAGGTCATTAATATTTAATTTAACACTAATATGGGGAAGAAATGTACTTTCAGCTCTTGGCTTCATTTCAGCAAAGATCTTGAACACTGGCTTTTCTACCAGTCTGTTTATCTTTTCAAGTAGTGTCCTTTGAAAAGCCAGCTATTGCTGTTAACCATGCTTTAATTTCCTTGTCATGCATGTCTTTGCCTTCTGTATCTCTAAAGGTATGTTTATTACTATCACTTTAGCAATGAAAGAGAAGAGAAGAAAAAGATAAAAAAAAGGAAAGAAAGAAGTTGCTCTTATGAGAAATTTAGAGAAATTCAGGACTTCACTTATCAACGTCCTTTGTCATGTAAAAACATTTTTATAGATAATAAAATAGTGAAATAATTTATGTGAGAAGGTAAATTAAGAATACAATGTTTAAAATTCACAGTTCCCCCTTTCCTTTTTTTCTTATACACTGTTTTTTCTTCTATATCTCAGACTCACCAGTTGAAGGACATAAAATTCTTACTCTAAATTTAAAATTGAGAAAGAAAATTAATCCTCATCCTGTTAAATAATAAATAGCAAGCTAAGCAGAATTAAAACAAAACAAGGAAACAAAAAATTCTAGAACATGAAAATTTTCCTATGAGTCTCTATGATAATTACATGTTAATCTACCTGAAAGTGAAAGATTCAACTCCATAGCTAAAGATACTAATTTAAAAAGTCTCCTGCATTTTAAGTATCACATAGCTGACTGGTGAATGAAAATACTCTTCTCATTTCTAGCTCTCATCTCTTGATATATTTTTTACATGGACATTATCAGCAGGATGTTCTGTCCATCTACTTGCTACATTTCAGTGGGAATGAGTAATATTCATTCCCCAGTTACATATTATCTTCTAGTCATTTTTACAGCAACCCTTTTTCTATGTAACAGCACAGGCAGCTCCACTGGTGTTGTTTACAGTGTGTAAAAGCTAGTCACAATAAATACAAATAAAGCGACAAGAATGACAGAGGCACTGGATTACTCAATTTGTTATCTGGCACAAAAATATGCTGATGTGCATTCAGAAAGACTTACAGGTCACCTGGCAACAGACCACAGTGCATAAGTGGAGTGCATGATCTGATCAAATCACTGCAGAGTCAGAATTAGAAGTGCAGATCTACCTAGGCAGAGGGTACAGTAAGCATCAAAGCAGTATCTAAACCTCAGCTTTAGCAATCACTTACACATGAGGACAGCTTATTACAGAAGATTATGACCTCATGAATGAATACAGAACTTGATTTTTTCAGAATGTTTTACACGTTCTGAATTTATTAAAATAATCTGTAGTTTATCAAGGAGGTAGGGTTAGTTGGCATGAAAGCTTCTTTTAGCTGTAGCTCATCTTAATCATTAGTTTTGAGTTCTTTGTCTGAATAACCCATCCCAACTTTGCATTAAGCTTTCCAGATGAAATACACCTATGATTTATCCTTCTGCTAGGAGTTCAAACCGTCTTAAACAGAATTTTAATTTTGTGTATTCAAGATATTTTAGTAAGTCAAAATCAGATCCCAGACACTGAAACTCAACAAGAGTTTTGTTTTGTTGTTTGTTTGGTTTTTTTAGGGATATTGAAATGGTTAAGGAGAAGAATTTTAATTTAAGCAACAGGTTTCTTGTATCCATACCTGTGAGGTAGATTTCTATTTAAATGTAGAAGAGTACCATTTTCAGTATTTGATTTAGCCAAATTCAAACACAGTCATTTTTACCAACACTGTGGCCCAAGACTGAGAAAATCTCATTGGATTTCATCACTATCAATAGTGAATGAACACAGAGACTGATTTTGCTTTCCAATCAGTCTTTCACAATATTCCTTTAATCTCTTTGGGGTATGCAACTGTGTAAAAAAAACACACATATTACTGAAATGCTCAACTGAGGTACAAGAAATAAATATAATTATAAATCAGAATATAATTATAGAAGTGTGAATTTTTCCTTTGCTTTTTGCAACTCAATTGATGGTATTTAGCACAGCATAAACCGTAAACTTGCAAACAAATCTATACAACGGCTGGAATGGTGGGGGCAATCAAGACTCCAGAAAGTATCAGATGTTTCCTCTAATCATGGAGTTATAGTAATAGTAACAACATTCACATTTTCTCTCATTTCTGGATTTAAATATAACACAGACCCTTGTGTGCTTATTATCCCACTGAATCAACTGAACAGTTTTAAAGAACATAGGATTTAAACAGAGTAATGGCAAAGCCAAAGTAGTGACAGATTTCCCATCAAAAAGACTGACTTTTGTCGAGTCCCGAGTATCACATGCAGAACTCAATCAATGGTCCTCATGCCCACCTATTTCAACATCAGCAAAATCATGAGCTCACGGTTCCTTTCCCTCTCTCTCTCTCTCTCCAGCGTACAAAGACACGGCTGATCAGCTCACTGACCAGTCGTGTCAAGTTTGTGAGACTCAGGAGGATAAAAAATGCTGCAGCACTACGTGAAAGCAAGGAAATGGATGTCTTTCAATAAGTCTCTGTGCTCTAAAGGGATCACTCATCAATCTTTCCATTCTACAACCTCTCTCCCCACAGGCAGTACATGCCCGTAGCTCATTCAGTCACAGAAGTGAACCGATTCTTGAAATATCCATATAACTGAGGATATGAGTATCAAGCAGTGGGACATCCAACACAATTCCTAACGGTATGTGGACTATCACAGAGTTTAGGAAGAGCCACTGGCAAGGTAAAAGCTACTGAACAGCAAACAGAACGGAACAAGGAAAATCCTCTCAACACAAAAAAGAAATTAAGATATTACTATCCACAACTTATCAATTACAGTTCCATCTCAAAAACAATCAAAGGGAAAAAAAGAAAAAAAAAGCCCAAAACCACCAAACCAAAAAAATAAAAAGGGTCACTGAGGAAGCAATACTTTATGTCACTAAATAAAGCATTGTGCATAACTCATTCCCCATTCTTCTGCTATCCTTATAATTTCTTTCAGAGAGAATTTAAGACTTTCCTCTTGAGGTATCAGCAGTCAAACAGGACAGACAAAACCAGTATAAACGATGCAAAATACTAGCAACTATACAAATGTCACTGGAACAGGTCTGAAATTGCAAAAAAATAATTTAGTCCACTTGGAACCACTGAAGAATTAGAGCTGAAGGCTCCTGACTTAGCAAAGACCAGAAAATAAAGGGAAAGTTTTTTAAATTTTATTTTTTATTTTATCTTGCAATTTGTGGCAAAAGGTCAGTCTTGCACTTCCAACATCCTTTCATTCATACTTTCACTACTATGAAAGCCAGTTTAAAAATGCATGACTATGGTTACCTATGATGGTTAATAGAAGAAAAAACCCAGCAGTTTCACAGTTGACCTCAAAATCACATACAGCAGCTCAACAAAAGTTGGGATGAGGAAGGCAGGCAACAGAAATTATCTGTTGTGCAATGGCCTAAGTGTTACAGCACTAGTCCAGAAAACGAAACTCAGCCTTTCAAACACCCTAAGGGCCTGAGCCTACTTTTCTAACATCACATTAATTTTTTTATGCTATTATGTCATATATATATATATACACTTTTATACATATAATCCATTTATATGCTTGCGTATATATAGATAAAGCATATAAGCATATATTTTTATACATTTACCTATATATAGTCTATGCATAGCACTGTATTTTACAGGCAAAAGCTGTCTTTTAAAGAATAAAACTCAGGATGAGTACAATCCAGTGAATACAAATCAACCTGGCGCCTGTTGACTCAACGGTTCATTAAAGAGATGTGGTTTAAACTGCTTAGCACAGAAAGCCTACCAAGGAGAAAAGGAGAAAAAGGAATGTTCTATTCTTTGAAGACAAGGAAAAGGAATGTTCTATTCTTTAATGTAGTATTCCCCCTGATTCCTTCCATGAACTTGCTTAGGAAGAAAAATGAAATCTAAATTTATCATTTTAGAGACACCCATTTCAGTCACTGTCGCAGGATGAAATAAACACTCCTTTCACGCATTGCTCAACCAAAATATTTGAGCCATGCCTAAATGTCAAGGCATGTGGTGCTGATGTACCCAACCAGGTGGGCTGAACCTAAAGGTAGTCTGGACCATCAAACTAAAGGAAATGCTGCTGCAGTATTCATGTCTTTAACCTTTCAGCTGATCTACTCTCATAACCAGTACCACTTAAGTTCATCTTATTGTTACTTGGAAGTTAAAGGAAGGTGAAGTCTCTATTAAAATAAACACTAAACACCAAATAATAGCTACTTCAAAATCATGAGG